AGAGACAGAATATGAACAAAATGAAGAAGAAACAGACAAAAATATTTCCAGTATTACTTGTAGGATATTTTATGGAGTAATAAATAATGATATTCCAATCAAGCAATGCGAAGAAGTATGACTTTGAGCATTCTAAAAAGAACTTAAAGATAATATCCCGTCATATTCTATTTTTATTGAAGGAAAAATTTTCTGGCGGCTGTCAATGCTCTCGTGGATCATTAATCATAGGCATTGGTAAAAAAAATGATTGTATATATTAAGAATATTGTAAAGTGATCATTATGAAAATTTATTCAAAATTAATCTGCAAATAATAAAACAATATGATTGCGTTTGATTATAATTGTTAACAGTGTTTCTTTCGTACTGTAAATTGATTTCTTCCATAAATCTCTATAAAGCCAAAACTAAGCAAAGAAATTTTTCTTTTTCTTTAATAATTTTCTGTTTTTTTTTCCTTTTACTTCATTGAAATTCTGCGAATGTAATCTTACGTTAAATTAACATTAGCATTTAATTCACGATTTTCGAAAAAAACAGAAGATATAAGTGCTGCAACGCGTTGTGCAGAATATTAAGACAAATAGCGCGGCTGGTAAGGCGAATTAAGGGGAACATTAATTAAAATGTTGCAAGCGCGATCAATTACCCACGCGATTAAGATCTTAATTGAAGCTGCACTACGTTTATGGCGCGCGCCGACATTTTTTTTTAAATACAGCATTCTCTTTCTTTACTAAGACTTTATTTTCGAATAAATCTGAATAATAACAGAGATGACAAAAAAACAATATAGAAAATTTGGCATTTTTAAAAGAGATTGCTTCGCAGCGCATTCGAAAAGGAGCGATTTTTCGGCGCTGTGATAAAAAAACTCTTGATAAAAAAAAAAAGAACGAACGACACTGACGTATGGCAACTTTCACAAGGCAGGTTTTGATGCGCGCGTGATCAGGATGACGAGGACGAGATCCGCGAGGAGGGAAGCGGCCGACGGAGAGCCGGGTGGCGCAGATCAAAGAGTCGCTGTGGCACGCGGTTGATCGGGATCGTCGCTGGAATCTATCGTTGAGTATAAATCATGGGTAACGGAACATCCTGTTGCACGTACAACAACAAAAAGGTATGTAGGACAAATATATATATTTATTGTTCGAGATATGTCGCTGCAGATAACATCGAACGACGAGTTGTGTCGCCGATATTTCCTAGATTTATAAAAGATGGCACCACGCTGAGCCTTTCTGAAACGATCATATATACGTACAAGCGACCTTTTAAGCGCTTGTCCTTCTTTCACGTCTTTTCACGGAATCGCGAAAAGAAAGATTGGTCGAATTAGCAGCCAGATGTTAATTATTTCAAAGTTACCTAATTTACCGTATAGTGGCCCATTTTTTATTTTTGATCGGAAAAATATATTTTTTGGCCTTTATTCTTTTAATACACATACAAGATTTGAATTACTGAAGATAAGTGTTTCGTAGCATGTCCATTTTTTGACGTGTTGAATAAAAAAAAATTCATGTTCCCTATCGGGAAAGAAAATCTGCAATAATTTATTGTTTGGTATGTGCCAAAGATTCAGCTTTCTCTAGAAGTTTTTGTTTCAATCGGTAAATTTTATAGAAACTTAGAAAATTAGAAAACAATTTGCAAAAAAAAATTAAAAAGACGCCTCGACAGACGTTTGCAGAATTAGGTACGTACGTCACGAAGCCATTAAGTTTATTTCTAGAATCGCAGAGCGGTCTAGAGCTTACAGTATTCGGTGCTAAGTGCGTACTGATGCGTATGCAGATACTTGTGATCTACAATAGTATCTATAGTTGTTACTTTTTTTTTCACGATGAGAGAGGAATCCGCCGGTGGCAGCTGCTGTGAGTAGCGATTGAGGTTGCGCAGTCGGCATCGATCGGCATCGTTAGATCTATCGACGTGCGTACGAGGTAAAAACGCGCGTTCTATAAGGAACGATCCATGGAAAGCGGAATAAATAATGCTAGTGAAGGTATAAACATACCTTCACTTCTTGGTCGGCTCCATTACTGGCGCGATGTAGCTCCGTAATCGGGCTTAAAAACTTCATTCGTAAATCCCATTATCCTCATCACGTTGACGATAGTTATGTCGTGAGCGGAATAAAAATAGGATCGTTTTAGCTTGGGACCGGTCTTACTTTCTTCCTGTGGCCTAAAATTTCTTTCAGCAACGTGCCTGAAAAACATCGGTACAGTTTACAATACAAGATCTTGCGATGCAATTTAAAGGGTACATTCGCAGCGATATTTTTCGTCGCTTATTGGCAGCTTCGGCTGTCGTCTCGTTACCGAATCGCCCCTCTGCCAATCTCGTGGCTGAGCCACCGATTGCCGAGATCGTCACCGATTGCACTCGTAATTACTGTAGTAATAGTTTGCGCATTATTGTAGTATCCGAGCGTAAATGTTGGGCGAACGTAATTAATTAAAGCCGCGCCTATCTAGGGGCAATAAGCTCCGTATTTCTTGATTTTACTGACAACTGCAAATTAGCACTCATTTAGCAATCGCTAAATGAGTAAAGTTATTTTATTATTACGTGTACTTTTTACACATTTAAATTATTTGGAAATACATGTGTCCACATTTAATACTACATGTCATATTATACACAGAGAAATGTGTTAAATGACACGTTTAAATATAAATTGTAAATTAATTTTTTGTATGCACTATAATGTGTTATTACACGGAAAACTAAATTACACACATAAATGTGTAATTTTACACATATAAGTGTGTATTTACAATATTATTACAAATTTGGATTTGCAGTGAGGCACGAGTAAGCGCGCCACTCTTTTGCACGATATCTCTACATGGCTTTAATTAACGTGAGACATTATTGTCTTACGATTAAAAACTAAAAATTATATTATAAATGAAACAAAACAAAATGCACTTTAAAGCTAAAAGTTTATAAGTTTCGTGTGGAATAAAATTTACTGTATTTGCTACAACGTGAAACTCTAGCTACAAAATCATTGTTCTTGGTCTCTCTGATGCCACGTTTCTCGAAATTGTGATTTATTGATAGCTAAATTTAAATAACGGATTTGTAATGAGCAGGCTTGTATTTTATTGAAATTAACATTCTGGAATCATGGAAAGAGCAAGTTTCTAACAAAAGAATACTAAAGTTTTAAAGGAGATTAGAGACAAGGTAAACAAATCTTGACTAAAAAAATATATCTAATTATAAAATAATTATTTACTTTGTTTTTCAAAGGGTATTTATCATAAAAGTATTCCATGTCGTTCAAATGAACGATGTCGACGATAGTCATCAAATTTGTCATGTTATTGAGTTAAAATAAAAAAATTGTATTATTAATGGACGTTTTACTAGGAAAGGAATACTAATAATAGATAAGTAACTTAATATTTTTTTATAAATTTTTAAATTGGCTTATAGATATAATTATTCCAAACGCTGCAGTACGCATTAAATGACCATTTGGTAAAATATATTAAAATTTAAGATTTATTTTAACTTCATTAGTTGTTATATGTTTATAAACCATTTAATAGACTGTAATAAATCAAAAATTAAAAAATGTTAAATATTTTAAATATAATTTTGATATTATTAATTATACATTAATTAATATAATTAAATTAAATTAAAATATATTTAAGTCAGTTATAGTGTACATTAATCAGAAATAATAAAAGTAATTAAAATTACCTTACCTAAATCCAAAGCTCACAAATTGTCAATATAATATTATTATATTAATAAAACGAGTCATTGTGACTCATAATAGTAATATTGTAATGAAATTGTAATTGTCATATAATAATTGTGTAATATAGTATTGAAATTCTGGTTTGAGGTAAAGTATATCTATAAAAATTAGATTAAAAATAATAAAACTAATGCAACGAATTTTCTTATTCCTTGTTCACCATAAGTTGTTCACATAGGTGGTGTCAAGGAGCTTTGCACAGTTTTTTTCTTTATATTGAGCTCAATTATTACTCGTTTTCTTTTCCTCTTTATGAATATACGTCTCCAGTGATGTTTTCTTGAGAATTTAGTTGATTATCTGTTTCTGCAATTAATTTAATTTTTTTTTTTAACAAGTTCACCAGTTGATTCTTTTTATTTTGTTTATCTCTGAAAAAAAAGGTAAATCGATAATAAGAGAATATAATAATTATTAAAATTGATGTGTTTTTCGGGATTAGTGGAAGATCGGAGCTAAGAGGTAGAGCACACCAAATCCCGGAGTAACGTAATGATCGATATATTTAACTATATGGAGATACAATAGAAAAGCGATCCGCTTGCTAGTAGGTCGGTTCGAGAAGTGCTCGGAGCACCTCCTCGGTATTCGCTCTCACATGTGGCAAAAGAGAAGGGGGAAATTGAGTTCGTAAAAATATGTATCGTTAGCCCAGCACGTGGCAACAAACACATTCCACATACATATCAAAAATTAATAATTATAACGGTGAATATTGTCCAGCGTCATATTGACTGTGTCAGAATGAATACAGTGCGAAAGAAAATAAATATTAACATCTATACTAACCTATTAGCCTTTTTCTTTCTCTTTAGGTGCAATTTTTGTCTATATTGTCTGTTTTATGGCCTTTCTATTAGGTTGTTTAAAAAAAAATTAATAGCGTATTAAGAAATGAATAAATCATTATAAATGAATTATAAATAAATCTCCTACTTTTTAAATAAACTTACTTTGTTTTTGTCATCTGATAACAACGATGATGACGACGATAGCGTTGCATGTAACTGCTGCATTAAATTTAACTCTTTGTCCACCGTTAATTTGACCGCATTTTTGTATGATCTAAATGATAACACTGCTGTATTAGCGTAATATAAAAAAACTATTTAATCCATTGTGCGCAAAACCTGCAGTTGATACAATGTTTTGTAGAATTGTGGAAGCAACGTGATATCCATATTGACCTAGTGAGGACTGCAGGGCCACAGTTGCAATAAATAGTGCACCCCACAATTTTAGATCGAAACGCTTCTTGTTCCCGTGACCTTGCAGACTAAACTTTGTTGCCAAAGTATTGGTCACAAGTTTTGCCAATATCTTCCTAACTGAGTTTTCTACACTCCTTTTATCTAAATATTTGCCAAGATCGGAACACTAAAATGATATTAAAACATAATTGGTTTACATAAAAAATTGAAAATAATAAGTAGTGAAAAAATAGTGCATCATATACTGTTTTAAAAATATTGTGGTAATATGTTGTTAAAAATTTTTCCTAACTTAGAGGCTTTTTAAAAGAATTGTTTGGACTCAACAGAATGATTTAACATTGAATAATATTTTTTGATAATGTATACATAGTATAGATACAAGTAGATAGAAAGCCACACTCCAAAAGAAACTTGATAGCAAGAAGTTTACGCCACAAACAATACCCAAAAATTTTGGTCGAACAAATATCAAAAACACTCTTCAAGATAAATAAACAATATCCTAGATAAGGTTATTTATAGATTAACAATGTAGGCTTTAGATTAAAATATAGATGGAAACATCAGAATATTTAAGCAAATATATTTATGTACAAAAACAGCTACGTTTTGCTTACATAAATTATTTACTGCCCCAGTCAGATTACAATCATTGGCTAGGAATTTCTCCATCTTATCCAAATCTTCAAGGGTGTTAATAGGCAATGGAGGCATTTCACTAGAACGTTTTATAATTTTTTCTCCTGGAATAATGTAACGGCATAGATTCTCCTGGTTCATAATAGATATATCAAGCTTACTGCTTACTCTTCTGATCTCCTTCTTGCATTCTATGATGGCTGTTTTCAATAAGGTCAGCTCTAAAGATAGAAGATACAAATTAATTGTACAGAAATTAGAATGAGTTAGAACTGTCTAGAAAATAATTTTCTTTTGATGAAGAGTATTCTGTACCTGTAGAGCCTACAAATAAAAAAATTATAACATTAATACACTGATAAAAATAATATATTTTTGTGAGAAAAGACTGGAAATAACGAGAACTTACTAAAAGTAAGAGAACGACAATAATTACTTTTTCTTTGTACAAGATCTTTGTATCTTTGTGGAGATGCTTTATTGCTGAACACAGTATCAGACGAATCAGAATATAGTACAGTATCTTTAGAACTTAATGAATGTTCCATGATAATTTCTTTCACAGGTGTATTATTACAAGAGCTTAATTTATTTGCAATTGTCAAAGAATTCTCTTTTGGAAATCCTTTCTTGCTCTGTGGTATTAGCTTTTGAACTTTTTTGTTTTTCTCTCCCTGCAAAGTTTTCCTCTGCTGTTGTTCTTTCTGATATGAACTTGAATTGATTAACTTTATTCGTTAATAACTCTGTAAATAATGATCTGAGCCAAAATTGAAAGAGGAACTTTTAGTTCAAAATTTCATTCTCTTTCACACCTTGAAATATTAATTAAGCGTTACGGGACACCCTGTATGTAAAGCAGACTCATTCTGCTTATTGTTTGGTTCAGAATATCCTCTTTGATTATCTTCATTTTTATTGAATGAGGAATTATATAAACATTTCTTCTTATCTAGGACCGTTTTTTTCTCGTTAGTTGTTTGCTTTTTTAGAATTTTTACTTGCTCTAATTTTTGAAGAAGTTCAGAGTTTCTATTAGATAAATCTGGATTAGAGATTGTCTCAACAGATATTTTGTTTTGTTTACAAGAGGATTCACAGGATGAATTCTTTTCATGATCTTATTGTAAAACAGTGTTAACTTGTGTTTTCTTAGGGAGCTGCTTAGATATTAAGTATTTTGGACTACTTTGTGAATCTTTACTTGATGAGGATACCGGATAGCAATCGGATAGTAGCGCCTGAAGTGGTGTACGTATTTTCTCTTCATATGTATGTTTTATCCTTTTGTTCTTTCTTTTATCATCAGATTCCGAGTCTGATTCTGATTGTGAGTCTAGTTTTGCTGCTCTCCTGTTTCTTCGTAATCCTCGACCTAATTCCACATCGGATTCATAGTTTGAATCTTTAATGTATTTTTTACATGCCTGACAGGCTTTCAGATAGGTGACTATAATAGAAGTTTAATAATAAAATAACATATTTGTAAAAACAGGGTTATAAAAGCTGAACGCTATAAAAATGTACGCCGGAAATATATAAAAATGTAAGGGTTAACAATAAGAATATGTAAGAATTTAGTAATTCTTACATATTCTTATTATTAAATATAATTTAAAATTTAACGAAACTTATATAGACATTTTAGCAGCCTTATATACGTACTACAAGAATTTTTACTCAAGATCATAACATTTTGTTTACTAGATCCAACAAGAGTAATACGACTGTGGTAATTATTAAATCAATATATTTTGAGAAAATTAATTTAAATTCTAAGACACGAGCATATATTCTGTAATGATTAAAACTCCTTTGAATAGTGTTAAATGCAATTTTCTCAGTTAAAAAGAACAAGTTAGTCCTTAGAACTAATACTATTATATCACCGCCTTAAACACAATGATCCTGTTGTTGCTAAAGTCTTTTGACCTGCTAAAAATTCATAAATCTTGCTGTCTTCTCAGTTTAATTATTTCATTCAATTTAATAGTCGTTTATACGAATATTGAATTATATAACAACTTATTATATAAAACTTGTTATGTAAAACTTCTTGAAAAAACAAAAGATATAAAATAAAAATTTCAATCCATAATTTATCTTTATTTATTGTAGAGACTCGGTTCGATAGTCCCCATAATGCAGGATAATTTTTCATAACTTGAATTAAATTCTTTTTTATTTCCATTTCCTTATCAATTTGCATGCAAAACAGACCTTCATTATTGCAAATTATTTCTGTATTAACAAAAAATTGTTTTATTTATACTAGGTTATACAAAATATTTATAAAATATATTAAAATAAATAATTATATTTTCTTACCACCGCTTTTGACAGGATAAAAAATCTTTGTATT